GGGGTAAAATTTGTAGCACGCATCAAAAACTATTTCGCGTTCAAAATCTCCAAAAACTATATGCTATATAGTACACGAATTTTAGTTAGAATTGGTGGAACGTCCAAAAAACTATTTCACGATCAAAATCACCAAAAACTGTATACTATAGTACACAAATTTAGTTAAAATTGGTGGAACGTCGAAAAATCTATTTCACGATCAAAATCTCCAAAAATTGTACACTAGTACACATATTTTGTGTAAAATTGGTGGAACGTCCGAAAAACTATTTCACGATCAAAATCACGAATAACTATACACTATAATAGTATACAGATTTTGGGTAAAATTGGTGGAATGTCCCAAAAAAAATTTCACGATCAAAATTACCAAAATATATGTACGCTATTATAGTACACATATTTTGGATAAATTGGTGGAACGTCCAAAAAACTTTTTCACGATCAAAATCACTAAAAACTGTACATTGTAGTACACAAATTTTGGGTAAAATTGGTCGAACGTTCAAAAAACTTTTTCACAATCAAAATCACGAAAAACTGTATACTATTATACAGATTTTAGTTAAAATTGGTGCAACGTCCAAAAAAACTATTTCACGATCAAAATCACCAAAAACTGTATATTATAGTACATAGATTTATAATAAATTTGGTAGAACGTCCAAAAAAAATTTTACGATCAAAATCACCAAAAACAGTATACACGCTAAATAGTAATATACACACCACACCGATAACTATAAGTAATAAGATTTAGAATGTGAGGTGGTCTTTTTGGATCAAAAAGCCTAAAGAAAAAGCTATGGCTAATATCATCAAACATGAACTTATAGTTGATATGTTAACATCATTGACAAGTACATGAAAAATAATGCCTATAAAGTTCAAATCCAGACACAGAAAAATACTATAAATTAATTAATTATTTAAAAAAAAAAAGACTAATGAATATATATCATGTAAAGATTGTACATTACACTTTTGATAATGAGTCATACAACAACCAAAACTCATCAAATCTTTCATGCAAATTGAAATCATACACTAATCATTCTTGAAAAAAAAATATAAAATTGCTTCACCTTCACAACTACAAAGGGAAGGAGGAGGGCATGCACATAGCCACAAACAACCTCACATCCAAGCCCACATCGAACAACGAGCAAACGAAAAAAAAACCCGAAAAATAATCACACCCCTATAAATCTTCCAATATAAAAAAAAATCGATTAATCGAAGCTAGAGGAACGACTCCACCTGCCGCGTAGATAATCTTCCAAAGAAACGCTTTGCTCGATGCTACTTACCGAAAGAGAATCTTCGTCCACACCGAGCAATGCAAGATTCAAATGTGATTGAAGATTCGATTTCGAAAATATCTCTTCGTCTATTGCATCAATCCCTTCTTCGCAAACCTCGTGAGAAGCATTCACTTGCAATCTTGCCCACTTCACTACCTCTTCGTCACCTTCTAGAAGCTTGAGAACCTGCAGAGATACGATAACGAGTATTATATAACAACAATATTGCATATTTTATTATTTCAAAAAAAAAAAGGGAAAATCGGAACTTACAACACTCATTTGAGGTCGAGCTCTCGGTGCACGTCTAATACAGAGTGAAGCAGCTAAAACCATTCTCTCAACTTGCTCGTGATCGTAATTGTTGCCCAGATTATGGTCCAATAATTGAACGAATTTTTCGGAATTTAAAATTGGCTTTGCCTGTAATTAATTAATTCGTTAAACAAAAAAAGAAAAAAAAATCGTAACGAAAATTAAATAATTAAATGAGTAGAGTAAATAAAAAACATACCCACATAACAAGGCTCTCTTGGCCCTTTGGGCAGTTACTACTAATCGGTTTTCTACCCGACAAAAGCTCGAGAAGAACCACTCCGTACGCATATACATCGATTTTCTCGTTTACTTTTCCGTACATAAAATATTCAGGAGCCAAATATCTGTCACAACAAAAATGTACATTGTTTAATTTTGTTCCATAAACTCAAAACATTTTTCGATTAAATTTAAAAACAAAAAAAAATAAGTAAATACTAACCCAAAAGTCCCGGCAACATCGCTGCATGTTGTGTGAGTAGAATTTGCCGACGCCCATTTAGCAAGTCCGAAATCCGAAAGCTGAGAAATTAATCGAATAAGTAGGAAAATGAAATATATAGCTGATTATTATTATTATAGAATTTAATTACCTGCGGCTCGAAATCGTCGAATAAAAGTATATTCGAAGACTTAACATCTCTATGAATAACGGGTTGATCTTCTCGGTTGTGAAGGTAATCCAAAGCCTCAGCTACACCCACAGCAACTCTAAATCTCTCGATCCACCCAAACACCGCCACCTGTTCCGTTTTATTACCTAATTCGCGATATTTTACGTTGTTATAAAACAAGACAATGTACGTAAGAATATTAAGTATTAAGAGTATTTTATTTTCGTATACCATGAAGATTGTCTTCGAGGCTTCCTCTGGATAGAAAATCGTACACCAAACCGAGATGATTGTCCTCGAAACAAAATCCGAAAAGCGACATAATATTTTTGTGATGCAAAGCTGTAATAATCTCGATTTCGAGAATGAATTCTTTGAGAGAATCTTCCGACGGTTTTAATATCTTCACCGCAAGTTCTTTTCCATCTGGAAGGCACCCTTTGTAAACCCGGCTGCTACCTCCTTTACCTATCACTGAAAAAAATTCACATTATTTTTAGTCAATAAAATAAAATAAAAAATTAATCGGAAAAAAAAAGATTCCGTTATGTAAGAAGAAAAACCATGTCTGAAATTGGACGTGGCCGAAACAAGTTCTCTGAGTTCGAACAGTCGACAGCTGGCGGAGTACTTCTCGTGAAAACCCTCGAGTTCCTCCGGTAAGGTTCTTGAATTGCACTCGAGCGACGATGAGGAAACGGATAAGGTCTCGTTATAACCAACTGTAAGAACTGCACCGTTCTGAACTGCAGAAGATTGGTCAGAATTATTCTCGATCGAGATATGGTATTGATATCTACTCGGTAGTCTCATTGCCCATTGAACCACGGAGATTTGCCTCACTGTGGAATTATACGATGATGATGTCATCATCGCTCGACGGAGAAGCGGCCAACCTGGTTTTATTTCCGGTAATTCTTTTAATAATAGTGAAATATTCGAACTAGAAGCTGCAGCCTCCTCTAGTTTATGTACCGAGACAATAGCTTTACTGTCTTCGTTTAAAGGCTCTTCATCGGGTCCCACCGAACAAATCGAACATTTTCTTTGTTCCGATTTACCACCTTCTTCTTTCCATGTCAGCAACATTGTCTTATTATTATTATTACCATAATCACTGTTAAGCACTTTAGTGTTTTTGCTGAATGATCGTTGAAGGGCGTTGAGTAAACCATTTCGTCGGTGATTTTCGATTTCTGCCAAAAACCAAAATGGATAATAATTATAAGCTTCTTGATTAAAAAAATTTTAAAAAAATATATTATTATATATTAATTATTATTTACCTTTAACGGTAATACGAGAGGATGAATTCGATTCTCTGTGAAAGAGAATTTTGCCATTATTTACGGCTAAAACCGAGCAATTTTTGTCGAGCTTCCGTGCGCAGTATTTAGCAACGGAAGCTGACGAACGAATAGTATGGCGAGTCTGAGCAGTTCCTAAAATAACCTCGGACGCGTAATAAGATTTCGCCTCTCGTACGAGGATTTTCTTGATCGACGTACCTCTGCATATTTTCAGTTTTAGGTCTACCTGCACCATTTTATAACATCAGAAAATTTATTAAAAAAAATATTCCTTCAATTTTCATCAGATAATATTTCACAAAAATAGATGATGTATATTATATCATCGGGTAAAATTACACGGCCACCACCGCTGAAGGTAAGGTCAAATTACGAAAACCCCCCTCTTGTTTGGGTAATTACAACCACCTCAGCTACGAATCTTCTTACATGTTCGTCCTTATGGTGTTGCATTTCACAGAATCTGTGAAATGCTCTCTAGTTTATACTCGTTTTTTGCAAAAATACAGTTTCTGATGCACCACAATCTGATATTAACAAGCCAAGAAACACATCTTATAATCATCTTGTTTCAAAATGACGGAGCTCGAATGGAGTAGAACGAGACATAATCTAGAAGATTCCACTAAATTTAACATCGCAAATGGTGGACACGTAAGAAGATTAATTGAAGGGATTGATTAGAATCACCCAAACATGAGGGAATTTTTCGTAATTTGACAGTACCTCGGGGGCTTAATTTACCATTATTTTTATATTAACAACATTCACACCTAACAATTAAGGCTGAAAATCAAACCAAAGTAATGGCATAACAAACCCTACTATTAAACTATGTATTTATCCATGCTTTCTTTGAAATCAAAGTCTACACAAGTCATAAATGAGAGGTTATGTAATAAAGCATTGTCTATATATATATATATATATATATATATATATAGAGAGAGAGAGAGAGAGAGAGAGAGAGAGAGAGATCCACCGACACTGTTGATTATCTCATGTTACTAGTTACTACCACCTTACATTAAATTTAAGTGGAACTCAACTAACACCGTTACATTTTTTGTGACGGTGGGTGATTAACGGCGTTAGTTCAAGAACAGAGAGATTTTTTTGGTTACCTGTTTTAAGTTGCAGAAGCCTTCGTAAACTTCAAGAATGGAGTCGAAAGCTTTAACCAGAGAGAGAAGGGATGATTTTCCGTCACGATCCACTATTTCTGCACAACCCCATTTCATCAAAATCAGTTCTTTTTTAGAAAATTTAATTAAATGCTAAAAAAAATTAAAAAAATAAATAAATAAAAATCCTTTCTTGAACACATATTTTGCTTAGTTTAGCAGACTTCACTGATTCAAACAGCAAAATGCAAAAATAGCAGAAAAATTCATTCTTTCCACAAATTAAGTGAAATTCAGACAATTGGATAAGAGACAAAATCACACACACACACACACACACACACACACACACAATTATATATATATGCTTACGATTGTTGTCAAGGACGTGGAGTGCAATGACGCAATCACCAGCGTGGGCAACTTTCACGAGAGCCCACGTCAGCAATTCTCTGCTGTGTGAGTCCAGCTTCACCCCCACCACCACCGTCCGCCCGCCGGAGCTCCCATCGCCGCCGCCAGCAACCACCATCTGAGTCATTTCCCACACACACAAAAAGAAAAAAAAAACTGAAACAGAGATTTCAAGACTCTTCCTTTTTTTTTATTCTCTCTCACTTCAATTTACAACTCTGCCACCGGCGGGAACCCTGATCAAAACAAGAACCCTATTAAAAAAGAGGGCCGTTTTGCTGGCAGTGGTGGTTAAAATTTCTGTGTAACTGAAATTTGAGTATTTTATGATTTTTTTTTTTTTGATTTTGGGTTTTCAAGAATTAAGCAGCAGAGAAATGTCAGAAGAGTGATATATAATATGGCTGTCTGATTGATCTGCCCACCAAAAAAATTAGATGGGGAAAACTTTTGTGTGCAATTTTGGTTCAAGTTATTACAATCACCTATTATGCTTGCTTTTCTGTGCTTTTGGTAGTGGGACCCACCATTTTTCTTATTTTACTTTTTTCTTGAGGTGGGGGTGGGAGTGTAGGGTGTAGGGGGGTGGCTAGGGGGTACAATATTATTACTATTTTAATTTTTTATTATATTTTTCTAAATTAAATAATCCGTGAGTACTTATGTTAAGAACCCTACTCTCATTCAAGTGACTATTTATTTATAATAATAATTATGGCAAATTGTGGTCATCCCAACCTAAAGTTAAATTATAAAAAAATTTCTTTTGTTTGAATAATTACAATCACCTTTTCAATTATGTATTGTCTTATGAAAGAATCCCTGCTTCAATAAGTAAATTCGACACCGTAAAAGTGGACGTATTACCAGAATAGATGGGGTTTTTTCGTAATTTGACATTACCTCAGTGTGTGGCTATAATTTGCCCTAATAAATATTATTCTTTTTTCGATATTCATAGTATTCAATTTTTTACTTAATATGAATATTAGGAGAATTCGAATGAGCATTTTTTTTATAGACACTATTTTTCTTTTTATGGTATTGTTGTCACATATTCACCATTTTTAACAATTTATTCAACTAATATTCGAGTTGCCTATATTTTTTGGGGTTGAAGCAAACATTCCTTCAAAATGTATTTATGAGTTTAATTCAAAATTTGAATATATTATTGAGAGAAATAAAGAAAGGGAATAAATTTATGAAGAAAGAAAAAGTAAATGATTTCAAAATTTAAAATAATAAAGGCAAGTGCAAAAGTGGAATAGAGATTGAATTGGCTAAGTATAAATTTATTACATATTACATGTTTAAGGATTTTGAGCATCTACTTTTGGTCACATGTATATTGTATAATTGTTGAAAAGCCCTTTCATTTACACCTAATATTCGTGTATTGTGTGTTTCTTTTGGGGCTTAATTTCACTTTGCACCCTTCAAATGCGTCATTTTAGCACTTTGAACCCCCTAAAGTAATAAATAGCATTTCGCACCTCAAAACATGTTTAATTATTCAAAGTGCACCCTAGTATATTTTTCAACCATAATTTTCTGTCGTCGACTTATTTTCCGATCGTCAACATGGTCATTTTTGTCTATTCAATTGATTTTTTCTTCAGGGTGCAAAGTACTAATGTATTTTCGAGCGAAAATGACTTTGTTGACAATCAGAAAATATGTCAACAATGGAAATTCAGGACGGAAAATAAACTTGGATGTCATTTGAACGATTAAACATGTTTCGAGGGTGCAAAGTGCCATAAATTATTTTTGAGGTGCAAAGTGCCAAAATGGTACATTTGAAGGGTGCAAAGTGAAATTAAGCCTTCTTTTGGAGATTATTGTGTTATGATTCTTTTAATGCGATTATTAAGACAGTAGTAGGTTTGAATTATTTGTTTGTGATTATCTAAATTATATAAAGATGGTTAGTAATTAGTTGCACGCTAATTAATAATTATGACTCATTTAATGTTTAAGAGAAAATAATAGAATCATGATCTCTTTTTTTTTTTTGATCATAAAATCATGATCTCTTTTATTAATGAATAAAAGTTCATATTTTACCGATATTTCTTTTATTACTCCCTTCGTTTCTTGTGACCAACGTAAAATAATAGTTCAATTATATTTCAAAAAAAAAAAGTATAAGGGTTTAATTTTTGAGGGGCTCGTATGCTTAAAATTAAAAATATCCATATATATATTCCTGTCTTTTATTCATTATCGATCGAAAATTTTGTAAATAAATTTTAGTGTTCATCTTTTAATAATAATTATTTTATTAAAAGACCTTCAAGAAGTCAAACTGTACATTGACCTTTTAATTGCATGAAACAGAACAGCCATTTTTTAAGTAAAGTATGATTAATGTGATAATGTCATTCTACACTTGCGAATTTACTTGAATAAATATTTAATTATATGACGTATTAATATTAAAGAAATGGTGGTTAAGGGAAAGTCAAATACTCACAAACATAGAAAATAAATTGAATTATTTGATTAGTTTAATCTTAATCTTTAATTAATGGCACGTGATTTAGCTCCTAATGCTTATAATAATTTTCGATTAAACTAAATATGTTAATAGAGGTTAGAAATGGCTCTTTGTTGGTATTTAGTATTTACTACAGGAAAAGTAAGTGGCTATTAAATTTCATCAAGAGTTGGTTTATTTATTATTTATTATTTATTTATTTATTTATTTATTTATTTTGTGAAGAGAATGAAGAGTCAAGTATAAAAAGAGGTTGACTAGCAAGATTCACCTTGTCCCCTGATCATGTTGGATTTAATTTCATTCCATAACATTTTATTTTATTTTTATTAATTATATGCCCCCAAAAAATCTAAATAAAAAGCATTATTTATTTCTCTCAAGGTTCAATCGATTGAATAACTGAATATCATCAAATATAAAGTATGGGGTAATAAATTACATCTACACCCCTTAGTTATGCTAAAATCACTTTAAGATCCTTGTAGTATCGGTAATTACAATCACCCCTGAAATATTGTTAAAAACTCTAACGGAATGATGCATTAGATAAGTTTTTCCGTTATGGTTCTAACGAACTATTAGTTTCAGGCAGTGGTGGAGACAACATTTCTTAAATCCTTATTATTTTATATAATATAAGATTTATAAATTTTCGTCTATGGTCGCATTAACGGCCCCGCAGGAAACAAATATAATGCATGTCGATCCTCAGGACATGAAATCTTAGATCCGGTGATTTTTCAGGGGTGTGGTTGTAGTTACCAATACTCATTGGACCTTAAAGTTATTTTAGCATACCTTAGGGGTGTAGGTGTAATTTACTTAAAATATAAGACCATATACAAATAAAAAGAAAAATTATAATTATAATTGGACTCATTTATTGAGTGGAGCAGAAAGATAAACCGGGTAACCGACCATACCCCACTCACGTGACTAAATAGACCCAACTAAATACTCACACGTGGCGTGGCATTAACATTTACCCCTCGACATGTCATTTTCTTTATTTATTTATTTAAGCACTCGTATTATATTTATTTCAACAATTACTTGAATGGAAAATTATTTTGTTATTAATTAATTAGCTTTGTTTGAGTTTGGCAATTCAAAAAAAAATATTTTTTTATTTAGTTATGTAGCATGTAAAGTTCAATTTTTAAACGTTACTCAGTATCCGTTTTTCGATTTTCTCGTATCATCGTTTCAGTGTCTGTGCTACGTAGATACTAATTTTTCGCTTAGTCTAATTAAAAGTTAGAGAAGCCATCGTACAATTAATTTGTTTTCCGATTTTCTCGTATCGTCGTTTCAGTGTATGTGCTACGTAGATACTAATTTGTCGCTTAATCTAATTAAAAGTTAGAGAAGCAGTCGTACAATTAATTTGGTGCACAATCTATGGTCATAAGTTGTTAACTAGTTAATTTTAATGCTGTTATATGCACTCATAATTGCTTACTAAATTGTATTACTAAAGTTCTTTTTCGTTAAATTGTTTGGACAACCAAACACGACAGATTAACTGCAATTAAAAGAAGAAAAATAAATAAATAAATGAACCTTAAACATTCGCGTGTGTGTGTGTGTGTGTGTGTGTGTGTGTTTTTCTAACAGCAAAATGCATAATAACTTTTTTTTAATTATTTATAAATCAATAAATAAAAAAGGAATTAATGTTGACCCCAATAGGTTGGTGATCTCAAATATAATAATATTATTTAGCATCCATGCTTGTGAATTTAATGATAGATATTTTATTCTTTTTTGAAGACAATAATTATGGAGCCCATCACCAAATTTATGGTTTTAGACTATATGGCCCACTTATGAATCAGGCCAAGAACTCTGAAAAATTATGAGGCCCACGTTTCATTTAGGCAAGAGCATATATAAATATATTTTTTTATTTTCTATTTATTTATTTTATTTTATGAGAATTCTTTTACCAAAACCAAAAAAAAAAAAAAAAAAAACCTGATATGTTAAGTGTCGTTTCAATTTTGACACTTTTTTGGTCTCGTGAACATCGAAAATTGTAGTCATTTGCGTTAGTTTTCTAATCCAATCTAAACTAAACTAGCTATATTAGATATGATGTGACAAAATTATGCGTTAATGAGTTATATTTTGAATGTTAGATAATTCAATACATCGAAGTTGTGAACAGTGTTCGTTAATTTATGCATACATTTCTAATCCGTACAAATCTTGGTGATTCAAGCCGGATTAGATTGGGTCCTGTAAGGGATGACCTAGCGATTGGAGTAAGTGAATTTGTGTCAATTGAACCAAGTTCAAATCCCTTGCCAACGGTCTCTAGGTGGAGGTTGTCACACATGGTTAGCCTAGTGTGGTTTACTTCTCTCGTATAATTTGCAATCTATTATACGAGAACCCATTATCAAAAATAAAAAGTTGAATTAGATTGTTAACTCAATTGTCTACAGATTCCGCAGTATTTAGTTTTACCAAATCCATACTAAAGAAATGTCAAAAGACAAAATCATCTATGAAATTGAAACGGTATTATTAAAACCGAACAAACATTTATCACATCTCGATTGGAAATTATTATGTTCAATTAATCACACAAATAAAATATGTGACAATCTCAATCTAAAAAAAGGGCAGACGGAGAATTGAACTCCACTCCACATTCTAGAATTGAGATTGAAAGCCAACTCTATTGAGAAATTGATTTATTGGGCCTTACCCATAAGAAATCATAGCAAGCCCATTTGTGTAATGCACAGCATTAATTTATACGAGCTTCACAAAAACCAGACATTCTTGCAAGATAATCATTAGAAAAAAAAAATAAAAAAAAATTAAAGGGATGCTACAAAAATCGAGGAGAGAGAGAGAGAGAGAGAGGTGGGGGGTGGGGGGGGGGTGTGTAGTGGAGGGGTGGCAACTGGCAAATACGAGTTGACCGATGCCATTTTGGGTGGTGGAAAGTTACATATAACTGTTCAAGATATATCAACTATCTATCAGGTATGAATCAATCAATAATACAATTACAATTTATTTATTTAATTATTTACTCTCCTTTTCTTCCATACCAACCCAAAAAGATTCTTACCAGAACAAGAACCCTTCTCTCTGCGTTGGCAAGATTCTTCCAGTATCTTCTTTTCCCACTCTCTTTTTTCTCTCTGCTTTCTCCGAGTGTGTGTGTGTGTGTGCAAAACCCTTTAAGCTTGTTGATAAAAAAGGTATCTTTTTTTTCTTTACTAGTTTCACTCGCCACCCCAAATTCTGTGTATTAATCTCTCTCTCTCTCTCTCTCTCTCTCTCTCTCTCTCTGTGTGTGTTCAATGGTTTCTCTTTTGATATCTCTATGGTGTTGGTGTTTTCTTTGATTATTAGTATGATTGCTCTGGTGGCACTTCTGTAATTTTTGGTTGTTTTGGTTCAAAGCACTAAATTTTATACATGTTGTTGATTGATTATAATCTGCACAAATTTGGTGATTTGTTGAACCAAATTGAGTATATGATAACACCAAAATCTCTGTGATCTCTGTATTGTGACATCAGAACAGAATTACACAGCAATAAACCGAAAAATCGGAGTACTCGATATCGGTAAACGAAAAAAAAAGATGCAGCTTTATCATCATCCTTATTCATTAGACAGCCAAAAAGTGAGGATTGCATTAGAAGAGAAGAACATCGACTATACATCGTTCCACGTTAATCCAATCACGGGCAAGAATTTCGATTCCAGATTCTTCCGGAAGAATCCGAGCGCAAAACTCCCGGTTTTCCAAAACGGTTCCCACATTTTTTACGACACCATAGAAATCATCCAGTATGTCTTCTTGATTTATTCACATTGTATGTATATTTTCGGTTGGTCATTTCATCACATTAAGCAGGATTATAAAAATCGAATTGAATTTCGCAGGTACATAGAGAGAATCGCAATGGTATCTTCCGGTTTCGACGAATCGACCCTGAGCAGCGGAGAAATTGTCGAATGGATGTACGAAATCCAACGATGGAATCCCAAAATTTTCACCCTCTCTAACGTTCCACCAAAGTATCGGCTCTCGGTTTCGAAATTCCTAAGAGGAGTAATAATAGCAAGAATGGCCGAATGTCCGGAATTAGCTAGCTCGTACCATCTCAAACTGAAAGAGGCTTACGAAACGGAAGATAAACTGCGGGACCCGCAAGTTATAGTACGGAGCGAAGAGCAATTGGAGAGGATTCTCGATGAAGCCGAAAGGAAACTTAGTGAGAGGAAGTATTTGATTGGAGAAGAGTTCACTTTGGCGGACGTTGTTTTCGTTCCTGTTTTGAGCCGATTGGCCGTCTTGAATTTGGAAGAGAAGTATATCGAGACGAGGCCGAATTTGAGGGAGTACTGGAATTTGGTGCAGAAAAGGCCTAGCTATAAAAAGGTTATTGGGAGGTATTTTCATGGATGGAGGAAACATAGAACTCTGCTAAAAACCTGGTACTTTGTGCAAATCAGAAGTTTACTGAAACAATATTAATTCACACAGATGTATATATATATATATATATATATATATATATATATATATATATATATATATATATATATATATATATATATATATATATATATATATATGCAATTGGATTGTTCTTTGTTGAATTTTGCTTGGTTTTACATCTGGATTGTTTTGTTTTTTTTAAACATTTTTGCAAGTAATAAAAGATGAATTAGTTGTGAAATATTTCATTCAACTGATAATAACTAGAAAAAAATATTGCAATTTGGCAAAATTGAGAACTGTGCAGCAAGGAATGGTGGTACATTTATTAGTATCTCCTATAATATTTCAATACTTATATTTTTTTAGTGTGTGTGTTTTTTTTTGCTGTTTTCGGTGTAGTGTGTAATTCTTTTTAGTGTGTGTTTTTGGTGTAGTTTGTGTATTTTCGGTGTAGTGTGTGTAATTTTTTCTAGTCTGTGTTTTCGTTGTAGTATTCATATTTTTCAGTGTGTGTTGTCGGTGTAGTGTGTGTATTTTTATTTAGTGTGTGTTTTCGGTGTAGTGAGTGTGTGTATTTTTTTAGTGTGTATTTTTGGTGTAGTGTGTGTATATTTTTTAGTGTGTGTCTTTTAGTCATTTAGTGTGTGTTATCAAAGTAATGCGTGTATAAACCTTTTCACGATCAAAATTATCAAAATGCTATAGTACACAGATTTTGGGTAAAATTGGTGGAACGTCCAAAAACGTTTTTCACAATCAAAGTCACAAAAAATTGTATGCTACACAATTTTTTTTATAAAATTAGTGGGATCGTCTAATAAACTTTTTCATGATCAAAATCACCAAAAACTTTATATTAGTACACACATTTTGGGTAAAATTGGTGGAACGTCCCAAAAAAAAATTCAAGATCAAAATCAGCAAAAACTTTTTACTATAGTACACACATTTTGGGTAAAATTGGTAAAACGTCCAAAAAACTAGTTCACGATCAAAATTACGAAAAACTGTATACTATAATCCACTAATTTTGGTGACGTGTGAGTATATTTATTTAGTGTGTGTTTTGGGTGAAGTGTGAGTATATTTTTTTAAGTATGTTTTTTAGGTGTCGTACGTGTTTTCGATGTAGTGTGTGTAATTTTATTTTAGTGTGTGTTTTTGGTGTTTTTCTAGTATGTGTTTTCGGTGTAGTTGTGTGTGTTTTTTTAGTGTGTGTTTTCGGTTTTAAGTGGGTGTTTTCGGTTTCGTTTGTGTATTTTATTTTAGTGTGTGTTTTCGGCGTAGTATGTGAGTATTTTTTAGTGTGTGTTTTTTGCGTAGAGTGTGTATATTTTTTAAGTATGTGTTTTCGGTGTAGTGTGTGGATTTGTTAGTGTGTGTTTTCGGTAACTATAACACAAATTTTGGGTAAAATTGGTGGAAGGTCTTACAATCTTTTTCACGATCAAAATCACAAAAAAACTGTATACTATGTATACAGATTTTGGGTATAATTGGTGGAATGTCAAAAAATCTATTTCATGATCAAAATTTACCATAAACTGTATGCTATAATACACATATTTTAGATAAAACTGGAAAAAAGTCCGGAAAAAAAATTTCACGATCGAAATCACAAAAAACTGGATATACACAAATTTTGGTAATTTTGGGTGAAATTGGTGAAACGTCCCAAAAAATTTTTCACAATCAAAATGACCAAAACCTATATGCTATATTACACAAATATTTGATAAAATTGGTGGATCTTCAAAAAAAAAAAATTCACGATCTAAATCACCAAAAGCTGTATACTATATAGTACACATATTTTGGGTTTGGTGAAACGTCCCAAAAACTTTTTCACGATCAAAATCACTAAAAAAATATACGCTATAGTACACATATTTTGGATAAAAGTGGAACGTCCAAAAAACTTTTTCACGATCAAAATCACCTAACTGTATGCTATAGGTTATACACATTTTGGCTAAAATTGGTGGAACGTTCAAAAAACTTTTTCACGATCAAAATCACCGAAAATTGTATAATATACTTCACAGATTTTTCGTAAAATTGGTGGAACGTCTAAAAAAATATTCACGATCAAATTCACCAAAATCTGATTTCGAATTAATCAAAAAATAGCGTTCTATACTATACAGTACTTGGAGATTTCGACCGAGAAAATTTTTTTTCTCCCTTCCACCAATTTTATCAAAAAATTGTGTCCTACATGATACAATTTTTCTTGA